GGGCTGGGGGGTTCTGCTAATTCCCCCAGTGCACCCATTCTCCGAATGTTCCCAGGCTTGGGCACAAAAGGGGGAAAGAAGCTGAAAGAAACAGAAACTGATGCCCTGGGCTGAGAGCTGCGGGCAGGGGTTGTGCGTGCGGGACACGGCTGTCCTGCATTGCTCCGGCCCCGCTGCTCCGCCCACCCCGCAGCTCCTGCGAGGCCTGTGCCCAGGGCCTGCTCCTGACCCCTCGCTCTGCTCTCACCCACGGGCCACAGCTGAGCGCGATGCTGACCAGGGGGTCAATGGGTGGATAATAGCTTCCACCCCCGGAGGACTGCACCCCTAGGCCTCTGGGGATCATGAAGGGTCTCGCAGCCACCTTGTGCCAGGTTTCGCTGCTGGGGGACCAGGCCATGTAGCACCCACAGTTCACCACGACCCAGAGTTCACTGCAAACATTGGCTTCCTAGGAAGTGGTTTAGCCCCAGACCTAAAGCGGGTGCTAAGTGACTGAAAAGTTGTGTAAGATGTTAGGAGGAAGGTCCTTCGCCGGGAACCCAGCCAGGAGGAAGTCTCTTCTCCCACCAGCTCACCACGCTGGTCTCGAGTGGTCACGGCTGAGGACCTGATGAAAGACCCTCAGAGAAACGGAGCTGCGGCCAGCACGGGACTCGGCAAAAACAACTCAGTTTTCAGTGTTCCGTGAGTACATTTATTTCTTTAAAGACCGTTCACAGTCCAGCCACATGCTCTCTGAACAAACCCACTGCACGTGGCCGGTGCAGGGCTGGAATCGGTTTTAAAGTGCTACCGAGGAATACAATCATTGTCATGTAAATTCATCAATGCACCAGGTGGAAAGGCAAACCTCCCCACATGCCTAGAAAACCTTTTATTTTCTTCTTTTTTAAAAATGTAGCTTTAGTGTGACATTGGGCAAAAAAAAAGTACAAGCCTAAATTGTAAATGGTACATTACCAGTCAGTGGGAAGCCGGGCGAACTGGGCAGGTTCGTGCCTCCTCGCAGGTAAAGGAGGGAGGCCAAGGAAAGGGAACCGGAGGAAACCTGAGTTTGCTTTGCAGGATTTCGAGGTGCGTGGTCCCTGTGCCGCTTGCTTTGGTCATCGCGCCTTGGTGGTTTGGGGCAGAGGCATCAGGGTCTACGCCGAGACCTGCTTTCCGTCCGGTAGAGGTAAATGCTCTGACCTCCAGTGCCCACCAGCTTGCACTCTGAGGTTCCAAGGGCCGTGAGGTTATCGCTCAGAAAACATCCACATTTGGTGGCTGCGGCGTAAATTAATCTTTCCCTTCTGCTCAAGAAGAAAATCTGCCACTTTCTTCTATAGATGTGGCCGGAACGACCAATAGAAAATCTAGACAGGCTTCTAATTTGTGACTGGTTGGCAGCGACTGGCCTGGTAGCCATCACCAGGAGTCAAGGGCTGGTTTTGAACTTCGGCTTGAGACTGGATTTACATGAAGTGCTCTGTCTAAACCTTCCTCGCAGCTGGTTTTGAACAGAACAAGGTGGATACTTTCGTTAATGCGACATTAAAGCAGGCCCACACTTACAGCTCCATGTCCTTCCTCCGCGAAGGCCACAGGGACATCCTTAACGCGCACACGAGTGTCACCAGCTCGTTAAAACCAGCGCGCACTCCTGGTTTCGGACAGACGGATGCACATTACGATTAGTGTTCATGAGGAATCGCTTTCACGATACCACACGGAAAGAATGTCATCAAGACCAAAACACAGAAACGAGAGCCCTCGAGCCACTAAAGCGCGTGGGGAGGGGAAGGGAAGGGAATCGGTGGTTTCCAAGTCAGCGCGCTGTGTATCTGGTGTATAATCGTAACTGATATTTCACCTTAGCGACACTGGCTTTCACATAAATACCCTACACCATTCAAAATCAAACCTGGACACACAGCTTGGAAAAGAAACATTCACAGTGTGGATACGGCCCATATGGCCCCGTCCTGCAGAGCTACCCTGGTCTTCTCCCGTCCCTGCTGCACGGCCGCCACCGCGTCCCAAAAGGCCGCTAGGAGACAAGTGTGCGCACCTGGAGGACGGGCTCCTGGGTCACGCTCGGGTGGACAAGGGTCTCCTGTGCACTCGAGAGAGACAAAGAGACATGGCCCTCCATGGCTCTGCCTCCCCGTTAACTCGCTCGCTTCACACACAAGGCGGGCAGAGGCCCACCTGGCCCTCCAAGGATCCCGGAGGCGCTTCCAGTCGCACGGAAGCTGAGAAAGCAGAGCCCTTGACAACGATATTCAGCAGTGAACAGGACGCTCCTGGGGTCCACCTGGGAATCGCAACGGCTAAAAGCTGTGTTCTTGTTTTTGGTGTGGTTTTGGGTGTTTTTTTTGTTGTTCGGTTTTTTGAGAATAAGAAACACTCGGTCTAACACTCTGATACCTTCACGCTGGAATAAACCGAGTCCATCTGAATTTCAAAATTCAACACACATAAAACTGTACTAAAAGCTTCTGACCGGGGCCTTACATTCTGACACATCGTCCTCTTAGAATTCATTCCTGCATGTTACACGTCTGCCTCCCACGAGAAAGAACAGAAATGCTTCAAGTAAAACAAAACATTAAAGTGACCATGTGTCCCCAAAAGGCCTGTAGTGATTACTGACCTGTGGGGACAAACTTGGTATTAATACATTTTGTAATGCCAGGTGCTACTTTACAATAATTAAAATGGAATATAATCTTCAAAAATAAAAGATGGTGAAAAAAGTCATTTTACAATTCCTGGGACACCTAAGAATTTTTAAATGTGCATTTTAAAGTAAAACACTTTATGTAGTCTTCTAAGTTTTCTCTCCAAATAAAGAAGGGGAAAAATTCTATAATTTTGGTTTCTATAAAGGTTTTTGCTCATCAGTGGCTCTTTTATCCCTGAAATAGATATTTAAGGATGAACAGAGGCGCCTGTACAAAGGACCCCCCGCAATTTCACATCCGTGACAAAAGCTGAGTTTTCATAAATAGCCTTCTAAGTCTTGTTGGAGGAAAATGAATCTTATTAAACCATCAGAACCATTCACCCTAATGGCCATTACTGTTTAACAAGTACATCTCCTACAAGCGGCACATTCGGGAGCGGACCAACGTGACAACTGTGACTGAACCCAAGTGGCCCTGATGTGGGAAATGCTTTGAGAGACAGGTTGGGTATTAAAGTTTTATAGCAAGCTTATTTTTCCTACTGGAAATCAAACCGCGCCCTCCACCCCCCTCCAAAGTGTGTCCCTCACTGTTCACAGAAGAATTCAGATGAGCTCCTAAAAGGTATCTGATGCAAGCCTGGCCCGTTTTTTTTTACTAAACTTCCATTCCTAAGGCTGACACCTGAGGTGTAAAATAATTTCCTCTTTTGCCCTAAAAGTAGTTTGTTTCAGCTACTGGCAATATTTGGCAAACCAACCTCAGACTGAAGAAAACCCAGGTATGTACGTGTGAGCACCACGCTCCCTCAGCTGTCACTTATTGCTCCTAAGTGCACTGGAAAGGCTCGCTGCAACCCTGTCCGCAAGGGCCAGACGGGAAAAGTCTGTGTGCTGACTGGAACTGTTAGAGCTTTTGACACTATAGAGAAAATGTAAAAACCATATAAGAATTTATACACCTCCCACTGGCTAATAGGCTCAAAGTAAACTTAGAAAAGTGTTCGGCATAATATGCATAGGATATATTTAGTATTTGCATAATTTTTCAAGTTCTATGGCTAATAGCAAAGGCAAACGCCTTCCTACATTTGTCATAGTGTTTCCATTCCGATCGTAATTTCCCTACCCAGTTCTGCCTGGGTCCCACCTCTCTGCACTCGGGGCCAGCTGCACTGCTTTATCCTGAGCAGCCACACAGAAGAGGTGACCTATGCATCCGTTCACAGTGACAGCACAGAGGGTCATCTCCTGACGTGGGTCATCTCCAGGCGTGGACCCAAAGTAATACCCGTTAGAGCAGACGGTGGGTGAAACTGAGGCCCCAGACCTGCCCCATCCACGCCCACTGCAGCATGGATTTAGTTCAGAAGGTAAATCTCCTCCTGACACTGAACTTCAGCTCTCAGGTTTGAGCAGAGCCCTCCGTCTCCTGACACCTGGCGGTAAGTAAACGGGTTTGGTCAGTTCTCTCTGGGGGAACCTCCCGGCTGGAGACCCAGACGTTCCCTCCCCTTTAGAAGATGACACTGTCCAGAAAACCGCAGCTGGACAAGACGGGTGTCCGACAGCCGGCCGGCACTCCCGCTCCGTCCTGGCGGGTCGTCTCCGGCATCGCCGTGAAGCGGGCCGCCCACCCCGGCCTACATGCTGGGGTCCCCGGGGGCGCCGTTCATGGCGATCTTGCTTCTGTGCCTGGACAGAAGCTTCCTGTTGAGGATCCTGGAGAGCGTGGCGCCCTTCCTCCGGGGCCCCTCCGGCTGCTGCAGGAACACCAGGTCGTTGTGGGACTGGCTCAGGCCGGGGTCCTTCTGCTGCTGCCGCCGACGGAAGAACAGCTTCGCGCCTTTCCTTAAAATGCCTCCTGGAAGAGCAAAGCACAGGGCTGCTCAGCGGGCTGCGGAGGACGCGCCGCAGCGACCAGGCCGCGGTGACGGAGGAAGGCGAGCGGGACGCTAGCGAGGCGCTGACCGCCCGGCGCACGCTGCCCGCCGAGAACGGCGGG